AGTCAATGATTAATGTGACGTGAATGTCAAGCGAGACTGAAAATGCGGTATTTGTCATTGCCGAAATTCTCTATTAAGCTTAGCCTAAAAGACCTTTTTCCTATTTGTCAACCAACCGTCCATTGATATAGTTCTATACCTACAGGGTGCTAGAAAAACAGACGGGGATATTTTAGAAGGTGATTCCTTGTTAAAATATGAAAAAAAGTTGCAATAAACATGGGTCCGGAAATGCAGAGTTCTCAATACAGGTTGATAAATTAAAAAAAATATTGGTTTGTTGTCTTTGTCGATTTTTTTTTGATTATCACTGATCAACAGCCAAAAAATATCCTAAATAAAATCAACAAAATATTGCTATTTTTAATGTGCTAAAACCGGAATGAAACTTATTTTTTCAATATTAGTTCAAGTTTTAGAGATACGGTAATTATATGTGTTCCTGTTGTGACAGTGTTAATATGCTGTAATTCACAAGAATGCACGTGCTACATTTTTATCTTCGGCAAGGAAAGATGATGTAATCGGCATGATTGTGTTACGTTATACATACGTGTACATTATATTGTTTTATATTAGCCATTTTTTCCTCAGTTGGCTGACAGCGTTCGTGCAAGATGTCTCGATAGATCAGTTTTGTTACGTGTGTGGTGATGTGACTTTTGCGTCTCAGAGACGGTCTATTACTCCACTAATAACAAAGGCATATCAGCTTTATTTCGGTTGTAAACTAGGTGATCAAGACAAACAGTGGGCACCCCACATCTGCTGTAATACATGTGCTTCAAGTCTGAGGAGCTGGTTAAATGGCCAAAAAACGGTCTATGCGCTTTGCTGTCCCAATGGTTTGGAGAGAGCCTACAAATCATATTAATGATTGTTACTTTTGCATGGTACCTTGTGTTGGACAAGCCACAGGTATGTCCAAGATAAAAAAATCGGTTATTAACTACCCAAACATAGCAACTGCGATGAGACCTGTGCCTCACAGTGACGAAAATCCTATTCCAAAACCCCCAGAATCCTACATTTGCGAATCAGAAAACGAATCAGATCATGGCGATCGAGTGATTCGTCAGGAAGAAGATATGCCATCAACGTCAAGAGATCCTGATTTTATACCGAGCACGTCATGCCACCAACCGCACAAAATAACACAGTCAGAATTAAATGATCTTGTAAGAGATTTAGAACTTCCAAAATGTAAGGCAGAGTTACTTGGATCAAGACTGCAGCAGTGGAACTTGTTAGAAGACGATGTTTCGGTATGTGTTTTTCGTAAACGCCACAAAGACTTTGAACCATTTTTCAATATGGAGAATAACTTGGTTTTCTGCAGTAACATTAACGGCTTACTGGCGGCTTTAAATATAAACTATAACCCAGAAGAATGGAGATTGTTTATAGACAGTTCAACATTGAGTTTAAAGGCAATGTTATTGCATATTGGAAATATTTTACCATCTCTTCCTGTAGGGCATGCAGTTCACATGAAAGAATTATATGACAATATGAAGTACCTATTGACAAGCATAAAATACGATGAGTACCAATGGCATATTTGTGGCGATTTGAAAATTGTTACACTTTTACTTGGGCTGCAGCTAGGCTACACAAAGTTTTGCTGTTTTTTGTGTGAATGGGACAGTCGGGCAAAGGCGCTTCATTACACCAGACAAAACTGGCCTGTTCGTCAATTCCTAGAGCCAGGTCAAAAAAATGTACAGCATATGCCATTAGTAGATTCGAAAATAATTTTATTACCACCATTGCATATCAAGTTGGGCCTAATGAAAAACTTTGTCAGGGCACTAGATAGAGATGGGTCAGCTTTTCAATGCCTGCGTCAGAAATTTCCAAGACTAAGTGAGGCAAAGGTTAAAGAAGGTATTTTTGTTGGGCCACAGATTCGAAACATTTTGAAAGATACACAGTTTGAAAACACTTTAACAGGTATTGAAAAAACTGCTTGGAATGATTTTCGTCTGGTTTCTTGGGAAATAGAAAAGCTGACAACCATAAAACCCTTGTCAAAAATATGCTGTCATCGCATCAAAAGATGGGCTGTAATATGTCTCTTAAGATACATTTCCTACACTCACACCTGGACTTTTTTCCTGACAATTGCGGAGCCGTAAGTGATGAGCACGGCGAACGTTTTCATCATTAACAATGGAAAAAAGGTACCAGGGAAAGTGGAATCCTTCCATGCTTGCAGACTACTGTTGGACTCTTGGTAGAGATGCTCCAGAAACGATCCATAAAAGAACAGCAAAAGACAGCGCATATAGTGATTCTTATAAGTATATGAATCTTGTTACTTTTTTTAATATATCCTTAAAAATAAAAAGTTTTTTTCTAAACCGCAACTAACTTTTTTATTTCATTGTCATTTTTGGATTCAGCGCCCCAAAATTAACAAAGAAGTGCACTTTTCCCACAAGATACAATTAAAAAACTAAAATTTGTTGTCCAGTGTTATTTGTTTTCCGAGGAACTCGTGATTTTTTTAGCAAAAATTAATAAACCAAATTTGTTCTGTGACATGCAATAAAACGGTTTTTATTTTTTTTCCGAAAATAAAGTGAGATACGGAAAAAATACAAGATGCAAAACAATTATCCTTTTAGATGCTTCTTCAAACAGCAGATATTTAAGTTACGAAAAAGGCAGTGGTGTACATTTCTTTGCTAATAATGTTCGCTACGGTGCCCCCGGGGACGCCTCTGGATCTATTAATTTCAGTCTATTTAGGGCTAAATTAGACTCTTAAAACAACAAATAATATTTCCAAATTTCAACAGAATCGAGAAAATATTTTTTAAGCTACTCAATGTACAAAAATGCACAACTTTGTCAACTCAGATCGCCATTTTGAAAAACAGTGATTTTATATTGTCATAAAGTACTCATAAGGAGCTTCAAAGTGAGATATCACACGACCCCCCACTCCATTTAAAAAAATGTTCTAGAATGGCGCCCAGGCGCCGTCTTAAAATTATCAACTGCCAATTTTTACGTTGATATATGTATATAATATACAGGGTGGCGCATCGAAAATGAAACAGACGCATTTACTGGCAGTTCAGTTTTTTTTTGGAAAAACGCTTAGACCCGTCGATTTTGTTTTCGATGCGGACACAAGTTTGGCAAAAAATCACGTTAACACGGGGTTATATATAGAAATATATAGAAATTTTGAAGTTTGTAAATGAATTTAGATTTAGAATTTTGTTAAAAATTGAAAATATTAAAGAAAAAATGAATTTTGAATTAAGAAAAAACTGTTGTCGTCCTTTTATGACTAGAAGTTCAGAAAATGAGTTGTAGTTTGAAAAACTAAGAAAACGTGCTTTAATAGCAAATCGAATTAAAAAGCAGAGAATAATTATATATATATATATATATATATATATATATAGGTGAAAAAATTAAAGCTTCCGCCTTTTGTTGGGTACTTCGACAAAATTTAAGCAAAGAGGACTCTTTATACTTTTTTAATTCTCTCTAGCTTTCAATGGACTTTGCCATCATCATCAGGAGCTGCAATTACAATGATAACAGTAGCAACAAAAGTGTAAAATGAATTTAAATTGAATCAACTTACAGTAGTATGTGAGGATGTTGCTAATTGTTGTTTTCGTATAGGATGAGGGAAACGTCCAGTAACATGGTGAGAGCTGGATGCACAACAAAAAGACAGATGTTAAACAACTGAGTGTCATTTACTCATATTTGCTAAACTGCGAAAAATTGGAGAACTTACATATCTCCCCAAATTTCGACTCTTCACAACCATAAATAGAATCTGTGTTTTGGCCGATTCCACCAGTAAATTTCATTCCACTCAAAATATAATAATTCTCTTCTCACGATTTATTAATAACTGTTAATTTAAATTCCCATTAATTAAAATATAGTTTATTCAACTGCCTCTGGTCGGTTTAACAATTTCTTACATAACATTCTGAAAATCACATCATCTGAAGTGATTTGGCAACGTTTGGCACACGCCCACAATTCGTTCCATCTTTCAACACAGACATTGACAACCTTCGGCCTTCTGTCAAAGGGTTTCATCTCACTCATTATTCCATTACCACCATTTTGTGCAATCATCAAGTGGCTTCACGATGTAATGCTCTAATGTTTTTTAAATAATTTTTAATCTGTTTTTAACTTGTTCTTGTCATATTTTATATAATTTTGACCATTGTACCATCTATCCAGCTCTCACCATGTTACTCGACATTTCCCTCATCCTATACGTAAACAACAATTAGCAACATCCTCACATACTACTGTAAGTTGAGTCAATTTAAATTCATTTTACACTTTTGTTGCTACTATTATCATTGTAATTGCAGCTCCTGATGATGATGGCAAAGTCCATTGAAAGCTAGAGAGAATTAAAGAAGTATAAAGAGTCCTCTTTGCTTAAATTTTGTCGAAGTACCCAACAAAAGGCGGAAGCTTTAATTTTTCACCTAACTGGTCTAGACGACAATGACCACGTCTCAAGTTATATATATATATATATATATATATGCTGCGTGAAGAGGGGCTGTATCCGTTTCACGTCCAACGTGTACAAGCCCCCTTCAACCTGACGATTTTCCAGCAAGAGTGCGGTTTTGTGAGTGGTTGTTGCATCAACATGACAATAATCCGGACTTTTTGAAGTGCATATTGGTGACAGACGAATCTACGTAATGGGGTGAATAACTTTCGCAACACTCATGTTTGGTCAGTAGAAAATCCTCACGCTGTCCGTCGGGCACATTTTCAACAAACATTTTCGGTGAATCTGAACGCTGACGTAACCTCAAAAAAGTGAATCAGTTTTGCAAAGGATATTGCCCTTGAATACAGCATCCTCCTTCGATGAATTAAGCAACATATGCCAGACGTTCTGCCAGCCTGCAACATGTTACGGCACGTGTACCCGTCCAGCATGAGCATGGAACAAGTATCTGCAACTTGTTACATTGAAGACTTACCTTTATGTCCCTCTTCCTTCCCTGGAAGGTTTTGTTGATTAAGTCCTTGCTTAACGTTGCCATGAAGAACCTTGAAACTGTGCGATTTCGGAATAAACAAAACACGATATCGCTACATAATTAAATTTAATAGCGTTACGCTAGATAATTATATTTGTATGTATATTGTATTTGAGGACATCGTCAAGTTTCAGCAGCCAGATGTTGAGTTGCAAAGGTGAAAGAACTAGCGAGCTACGTCCTTGCAAGGCCGAGGGACTTCCTAGATTTCAACATTATATACTGGTACTGCCTTGCTTATAAATGTTCGCTGGTTAGCGACGCTTAGCGCTGTACAGTATCAAGCAAAATCATTGATCAACGTATTCTCTATGAATACCGATTTTCGCAGTACAGGAAGGGATCTGTGAGATTCAATGCGATTCAAAAGTGTAACAAATATACGAGGTTTGTCCATAAAATATGTATAAAAGTGTAGTAATAACTTTATTTTACATTTGTTCAGACATAATCGACTGTCTTTAAGAACACAGCCCCGAATTCGTTCAACATTTCGATGTGTAGGTGCGTCCTGAGCATGGTCATTTTTCACATCTTCTCGGCCTTCTCAAAACCTTTCCAACCACTTGTTAACGGTTGGTTCCTTTCGAGAATCGTCTCCGTAAAACACATAAAAATCTTACGACGATTCCTGCCTAGCTTTGCAAGAAACTTGATGTTGCTGCGCTGTTCCTCGATCACAGAGATCTTCTTGCCAGCTTTTCCACGATATACGGTGGCTTTTTAGTGCGAACTATTTTATGGACAACACAGTGGCCCTCAAGTTCTGCAGAGCTGCAGAACTGCCAAAACTTTTGTCTTGACAGAAAAAAATCGGTGGTAGTTTGATCATTATTTATTTTCCATGATATCACACAAATAGAAACAATACCGGCAACGCTGCACCCGCAAGACACAGCGGCGAGTCTGTTTTGTATTGAGAAAGCATTATAATCGACCAGTTGTGTACCTGTCATTTTCGTCGCGACCGCAGCGTAACATCATTCATGGGCCGCTTGAAAAGGGTCTGTGCACTATTTCGACACAAGCCGCACGCGCTTGCTTTTGTCTCTCTCTCTCTACAAAATCAAATGCGCGATTTAAGCATAAGCATGTGCTGCACGTTATACAGATCCGTACAGCTCTAATGCGAAGTACGATATCTGATTGGTGGGTGCTGGGTATAAAATTTTGCGGAGCATTTGAATTGGCGCTACGGGACCACGACGAAACCGAGAGCTCCCAAAACCCGGGAATATTTCGTGGACTGATTAATTCGTCTGCTGAGCTTGATACAATCTTAAGCGAACACATAAAAAATGCTTCAATATTTAAAGGAAATTCGAAAGAAATACAAAACGATCTACTGGATTGTGCTTCCGCAAATGCTCAAGTTCGGCTGTTATTTGGGGATGTAAAAGATATTCCGGGATTTTTTAATAATTTTCCTCAACGCGTAGAGGTATTGAACAGAATTGTGGGGAAAAAATTCTCGGCACACGGAAACAGCGCGACGGTAAAATGCTGAAGCCTCGATGATTTATGTCGGGCGTCGGGGAGTCCCCGATTTATGATTTAGAGTGTAGGGGATTCACCTCTGCGATAAAATACGACAAACTCGGTCAGTCGTATGATCGTTTAGGATACGTTTATACGTACGTATGTATTTCATTTTTGAACTTAAGTCAATACATTGCACGCATTAATATATTTTACGACTATGGCATCCACATCCCATAAAAGAAAGTGTTTAAAGTTGAGTGAGAAAGTGAAAATCATAGACGAAGTTGTACTAGGTGCGGGAGTGACACAGTTAGCAAAAAAATATGTAGTCGAAAGCAACAATCTGTAAAATTAAGCGTATTAAAACTCAAATTTTACAAAGAACGTACAATACATTTAGAGGTCCGGGAAAAAGAAAAACTTTAAAAAATGCGAAGGCACCTATAATGGAAAATTCCCTGTATAAGTGGTTTTTAAAACAACGGGAAAATCATGTCCCAGTTAGTGGCGAAGTACTTAAACAGAGACCGAGACTGTTAAATGAAAAACTGAAAGAAACTGAAAATTTCGTAGCTAGTGATGGCTGCCTACAACAATTCAAAACAAGATATCGAAATCGACTGATGTCTATATCTGGTGAAAAATTATCAGCACAACCACAATTAGTGCAACCATTCAAAGAAAAATTGATGAAAACAATTACCGAGCTAGATTTAAGAATGGAACAAATTTACAACGCAGATGAAAGTGGGAAACTGTTACCAGAGAAAACCGATGCTGCATCATTTGAAAAATCTGCCCCGGAAAGAAAGCCGGAGAAACAACGAATAACGTTTCTAGCCTGCACTAATGCTAATGGTTCACACAAAATAAAGCCACTGGTAATTGGGAAAGCAAAAAATCCGCGCAAATGCTCTATTCATAATTTGAAGATGTGTTTTCAATTTGTAGGTAAAAGGTTCCCTAAAACAACAGAAGCTTCCAATAAAAGCGTTGTTACTATTGGATAATGCACCAAGTCATCCTCCCGAGCAACAACAGAGGAGCAGGGATGGGTCAATTTTCGTCATGTACATGCCGCCCAACGTAACACCGTTAATTCATCCGATGGACCAGAATATAATAAGACTCACCAAACTATACTATAGGAAGTTTCTACTTTCGTCTGTCTTATCAAAGAATCCTGAAAACTTATCTGAGGCTTTAAAAAAAGTAACATTACGAGAAGCTGTTTTAGATTTACATATGGCCTGGAATGAACTTAACCAGCAAACTATTCAAAAATGTTGGAACAATCTCTTTTGTACCAATAATGAAGATGATGAAGAAGACGATGTCCCCTTAAGCGTAATTAGAGGACGTTTGCGATCCAATAATGATAATGTTATTAGTGTGTCATTGGATGTTGTTGATTTATTGAAAACAGTGAATCCCAAAATTGTTTGTACTCCTGCTGATATTAATTTATGGAACGAAGATGGGCAGACGAATGATGCTGATAAGGAGGAGGATATGGACAGTGAGGATGATGAGAACGATCCCATTGAAGTCAGAAGTGTAGTGACTGACGCGCAAGCTATACAAGTTTTTAACCAAGCTTTAGATTGGGCTGAAAGAAAAGAAGTTTCATACACGGATATTTTAGTTCTTCGTAAATTACGGGCGCAGGCAATGGAAGACAATGCTAAGCGCAAATTTACGCAGACAAAAATTGTTAATTAATTTTCTTCTAATTAAAAAAATACTTTACTTGAATATTTGTTTATTTTGTTATAAATAGTATGTATTAAACGTTTCTTTTAATAAATCAAATATTATATAAATCACGTTCGCTAATGTAAACATTTCGATAATGTGAACTACACTTGGATTAAATCAGTTTACATTATCGAGCGTCTGCTGTATTCGAATAATAAGTGTAGTGTTTGAGAACAGAGAATCACTCATTGAACGCATGGAAGAAATAGAAGAAAATTTCACTAATGAAACCGTTTGCAAGGCAGCTTGCGGTATTCGCCGTATGCTAAACGATTCTGTTTTCGTGTTTTGGTTGACATTTTTTCATCATGTCATGCCTCACGTCGACATCTTGTTCCACCAGTTGCAGAAGAGAAAAACCGAGCCAGCGCAAGTTAAAACAGCTATCGATAATTTTGAAAAATGTATTGTCGATGTGAGACATAAAATTGATGACATAATAAATGAAGCCAAAAGTATTTGCACTGAACCCCAAGGCAACAAAAGGAGACGACGTAGTAATATCAGTCACGATCACCGAGTTGCCGCATTAGAAGTGTGCGACAATATAGTGAATTCTGCAAATGACAGATTTCAATTCAAAGATTATTTGGTAGCCGCATCCCTTTTTTCCACGAACACTTTGGAGAATACTGTGGTAAGTTTCCTGATGACAAGTTGGAAACTACCTGCTTGGCTTATCCCGAATTAGAAAAAAAGTCGTTTAAATACAGAGTTGTCTGCTATTTATGCACGGAATGATTGCCGAGATTGACATGGAAGTCTATCTCTTTTGAAATTTTTGATACAAAATAGTTTGGAAGAAACACCAAAAGAAACAAAAAAGCTATTACAAATTATTCTTACAACTCCTATGTCAACATCAGAGGCTGAGCGAAATTTCCCAACATTGAAAAGAATCAAGACTTTTCTTCGTAATACTATGACCCAGGATCGCCTTACAGCGTTATCGATGCTGTCCATTGAAAAGGAATTTATTTCGACCATGGAAAATTTCAACGGGAAGAATTTGCTGCCAAGAAGGAGCGCAGGATCGAGCTGACATATAAAAAATAGGTAAGTTCGGATTTGCAGAACACCTGCGCTATCCGCTGTTCTGTGGACGCCATGTCCTTGGAATCATCTCTTATCTCCCTTTAATTGTACTCGCCTTGTCTATCTTCTCTTTGTCATACCTGTGTCTCCTATTTTGTCCAATAGTGTACACGCTGCCTACATGCCCGCTATGGTCGGGCTGCCGGGCATATCGAGAATAGTTGGTGTTGCACCATCCGCTTGCACATCCATCGCTGCTCGCCTGCTCGGCTTGTTTGTCTTGAGAAACTTTACACTGATTTGGTAGTATTATTCGGTTCCGCATAGATGATGCGTTTACTTGGAAACACATAAAAACAAGTTCTGGAAAGATACGCTAGGCTTTTTTAGGATAATGCAGAATAATAAACATATTATGTTTGGTTTATTTTGTCACACCCTTAAACTGGACGAATTAAAAGGTTTAATGAAATCATTCGGAGAAATACAGAGCTTTTCAAAACTTACCTATTTCTTGAACGATTCAAGCAAGCTGGTTACGGTATAGGGATTTTCTTCTGTCCACAAATGATTATTGTGGAAATTCTGAACGGCATTTCGAGAGAAATTAGCTTCGTTCGTGAACAGAATCATTGATTCAAATTGCGGATTTTGTGTAACTTTTTGAAGATCCACTGACAAAGGTCACACACCTTGGAAAATCAATGGGAAGTAATGCCTGTACTTTTACAATATGGTAAGGGTATAACAAAAAATCCACTAAAATTCTCCAAAATA